TTTATTAAAATAGCTATTTTTATGAATTGATAAATCTTGAGAAAGACAATAAGATTCGGATTGAGATTTTGTTGAAAATAGTTTCATTCGTGAAGGATTTATATTCGAATAGAGAGTTTCTTACGACGAAGAAAAAGTTCATTTCGATGATCGTTGATATCATATGCATCACGACGAATAAAATCAAATTAGTTTTATTGGCGATGAAGATTTTGGATACGATTAAAAAGAGATCGTGAACGGTTATCGAATTTGATGGTTGCAAAAGATGACGACGGAGATTGTTTACCGGCGATTCTCGTAGAGATTAATCGAGAAAATTTAGAATCAAAGAGGTAACGTCTCTTTGACATTGCTAAGACGGAATAAGATTGTACAAATGACTATTTTTCATATTTTGTAGTTTCTCGTAATTTTTATGTTTAATTGTAAAATGAATCAATTATAGAATTTTTTTATATTTTAGGCAACATAAATACAACATTAGTGGAACTGATTTTTATTTAAATTACGAGAACTCATGCCACATCATTTAAGAGTTAATCCTTGATTGAGATGGTAAGGGAAGATTGGAATTGTATTTTTGTTGTTAAATCGTGAGTATGTAAATAACAATATTTATTTATTTGGGTATTAAATCGCACGGTTTTATTAATATGTGTATTTTTCTTCCTACAAAAAAAATTGGGTATTAAACGTCCAAATAAAAAATAAATGAAGTTTTTTTTGAGAATTTTCCCAAATAAGTAGATACATTTTTTATAACCATTTCCACCGTTCTTTATTTGGAAGATATTGATGAACCCATTTAAAGTTATAGCCAAGGTCCAACGATGGTTTGAGACTTGAGTCTACCCCCACATACACCATAGTCTATACGACTATATACTATATTTACATGTAATAGCTGGTTAGATTAAATGAGAAAAAAAAAATTGAATTAAAATACCAAAAAATTGTTTTCACTTTCTAAATCGTGATTATTATTATTATTCAACCCCTTAACCCATTCCCCACTATTATCACCTTTAATTCTCATATTAGCATTATTATTATCACCACTCTGTTTATCACGTTCTTCTCTTGCAGCAAAAATCTCTTGGACAATATTCTCCACATCCATTTTCGTATTTACATCTTTACCCTTATCACCACCGTCGTCCGGCGCCGGAATATACGGTGGTCTAGAAACCAAAATCACCTTCTCCCAATCCACTCCTTTGAAGAAATCGTGACCTTTAATTTCCTCAACGTTGATCCTACGGCTAGGATCTTTCTCCAACAATCTTCTAATCAAATCCCTCAACGACGTCGTTTCACCGGTAAGATTCGGCGGTTTAGATAAAATCCGGTAAAACGTCTCTTTCCGGTTCGATCCTCTAAACGGCGTCGTTCCATACAACATCTCGTATAGAACAACCCCTAACGACCACCAATCGACGGCGAAATCGTGGCCGTCTCCGGTGATTACCTCCGGCGCTACGTATTCCTCTGTTCCGACGAAAGAATTCGACTTTTCTCCTGATGAATCTGACACGGCTAATGTAGATGATGAGTGAATCGAGATCGATTCTTGCGGCGAGATTCCTGAGTTACAAAAACTGGAGAAGCGGAAGAGACGTTTCTTTCTCGTCGTTGCCGGCGACGGTTTAGACGGTGACGGCGACGGTTGCGGTGTTCTTGGAGCTAGATTTGTAGAAAGATCGAAATCTATTAGCATTAAATGTCCATTTTCTTGGATCATCACATTATCTGGCTTCAAATCTCTGTACACAATTCCTTGATTATGCAAATATTCAAGTGCTAGTACAAGCTCCGCCGCGTAAAATCTGAAATCAAGACAATAATATGAATAAATCAACAACATAATCAAATACAAATCAAACGCATTGTGAAAAATCCTAGGCCAAACCTCAGACTAATCCCTAAAGGCGGAATTCTTGACATTTAATTAATGTGTGGTTGAAAAAAAAAAGACGTATACAATGAAAGATTTTGGTCAAATAACAACAAATTACCTGATAATGTCGTCGGAAAACATACTTTCCGATTGCATTTTCCTCAAAGAATTGAGATTTTGTCCCGGACAATAATCGATGGCATAACCGATGACTTTATCGGTAGCTAAAACGCCGTGAAGAGACGGAAAGAGAGGATGGTCGAATCTGCTTAATACGCCTTGCTCGAAACTTACGCGTTTATACTCATCTTCTTCACTTTCTCTAGCCTTCTTTTTCTTCTTCTCTATAGCTTCCTTAAGTATAACTTTTAAAGCAAGCAACTTAGCGTCGTCGTCGCGGACAAGAAACACAACTCCTTTAGCTCCTCGACCTAGTAATGACAAAACCTCGAGTCGATTAAAATCTAGAGCCCGGCTCTGTTTCTGGTCTTCCTCTCGCATAATGTCGACGTTAGTTAACTCCGTTAGAGAATTAAGACAGTAATGAAAATATCGTTTTGTCTCTCTTTTGGTTCTACGTAGTACGCGACTTCTTATATTATAAGAGAAAGAATTAACGAATCTTCAAAAACGTCCACTCGTTTTTTCTTTTCCTTGCCTTGCCGGGGAAGATTTCAAAAAGGCAAAATAAAATTAAAATTAAAAAAAAAGTCAATAATAAAGAAAACGAAAAAACGCCTGAGATTCGTTGCCATGCGTTTGACCAATTTAGCCTTTGCCTTTGTTTAGTGCTGAAACTATCAAGAAAGTGTTTGGTTGGTTTGACCAAATGTGTTATTATTCGTCGTGTTTAAGACAAACACGTGGTGTTCTAGAGGATGTGACGTCAGGGGTGACGTTTACGTGGAGGCGAAAGAACCTAGAAGGCGTGGAGGAGGGAAGTTCAATGCCTTGGAAGATGCGGCGGCCTTCGAGCGTTGAAGCTTTGACCGGTCCATATAAAGAGCCTAATGGACTACTTCAACATTAATATTTTATTCTCTGTTCCAAAGCCCAAAAGCCCCAAATGGCATTGATGTACTATATTTATTGTTTTATTTTTTATGAAGATTTCCTATATTTAAGAATTAATAATGGACTAATTAGGAAACAAAAACTTTTTTTTTATCACCTCAAAAAGATTTTATGTACTTTTGGAATGGAATCTCATATTTGGTGTGTAAAAAATCATTATTTTAGTGGTATGTACAGATGACTCTTCAACAACTGTTGATTATTTTTAGAAAAAATTAACTAAAACTAAAATCAAAAGTTATTGTGAAATTAACAAACTTTTAATTTAATATTTATCACTGCAAAAAGAATCTGGATACATTTTATAAATTTATGGTAGTTTTTAAATCATTTTTTAAGAGCATAAATATTAGGTTAAGATTTTCAAAATATAAAGCCACCTCCAATTATGGTTTCTTAAGAGTATCTAACTTATTAATTAAATAAAAAAAATAAAAAAAGGAAGAGAGAGACATAAAATGGTTCTTTTTTTTGTCAACAACTTTATTGGATTGGTTCAAATTAGCCAATGTGTAGGAATATTGTTCACATAAGTAGAAATATGCGGTAAGGTACGAACATTTTGTGCTAGTTTATCCGCTTTCACACATAAAAATGGTTCTAAAACAAGAGATTTTAGAACACCTCCATCCATAGAAACGATAAAGCGTTTCTCAAAAAGTGAAATACAAAACTAAAACAAAAAAATTTAGTGGTCCATTTTTCTTTAAAAAATAAAATTTAAATACAAAACTAAACTATATTTAAAATACTATTATTTTATTACTAAAAATCTCAAATGAGTTTCTCTGTAGTTGGAGTTGGCCTAAGGATTTAAATTAGTAAAATATATGAAAAGAAACCCAAAAAAAAAATAGAGGTTAACAAAACTAGACGACTGATGATATATATAAGCAAGCATACAAACAATTGATCAACCATGAACAATCTGGTGACAATCTCGTATCAACATAAGTATAGAGTGGAAACGATTAGCCAAAAAAAAATTATTTAAGAAATATATTTTGAAGATGCACAATATTCAGGATTTATGTTACATAAGCAGTTGAGGTCCAATGCAATGGGATATATAACTTAGTACAATTGAGGTGGTATGTGACTGAGAGAGTAGAGGCCCAAAAGAATATAAACCATGCAAAAACAATCGTCGTTTAGGTAATTTCTAGATAAACGGCACATGCAGTCATTACTTAAAATATATGTTAGGAATGTGACCTAACTTAATCCAAAAGCAGGGCCGGCGCAGAGGGCAAGCCACCGAAGCCACCGATTAGGGCCTCAAAATTTGATGGCCTTTTTACCTAAAAATTTGTTAAGTTTTTTTATATACAATAATTTTTGTAGGGTCTTTTAAAAATATTGTGGACTTTTAGAGATAACTATAACATTCTTTTTAATGGTAAAAATCTAATTTAAAAGAATTTTTTTTATGTACTTTAATTTTGCTTAGGGCAACCAAATTTACCGGACCGGCACTGCCCAAAAGCTAGCTCAAAAGTTAAGGATTGTCACATCCTTTATATACTACCCAAAGATCTTTGTCCTAAGCAATGTGGGACATTCTAATAGGCCTCCTCGAGATGTGGGTGGGAAACAGTCCAACGGGAAACAGCCCAAGCCCAACATCTCGGAAATACAACAAGACATGCCACTTATATGGGCCACATAGGTGGAAAACCATTTTTGTGGGAAATTTGTTTGTTGGGCCAACCTTGGGCTCTGATACCATATTAGGAATGTGGCCTAACTTAACCCAAAAGCTAGCTCAAAAGTTAAGGATTGCCACATCCTTTATATACTATCCAAAGATCTTTGTCCTAAGCAATGTGGGACATTCTAATAATATATATTGATTGAGTCGATGCTAGCTAGGCACATTCACCTGTGTACACAACCAGAGACTGATCATGGTTTTCTTGCCTAGATCCCTCACATGCAAATTTGGAAGTCCATTAGAGATGTTAAAAATTTAGAACACCTAGCTAGATAGAAGAAGGTGTTACAAGTGGAAAAAGAAGCTTTCCGGAAGTGGAAAGGAAAAAGGTGTTTTACTAGCACCGACTCAATCAATTTTAAGGTGTTCTTCACATTTTAAGTACATGTCCACATACATGCACTGTTATGCTTCATTGGCATATCCTCCGTTATATTATCTATCACAACACCAACATCTAGCGAGAGATCATTGCAAATGAAGGCCACGAAATCCAGTTTGATAGATACATTAAGTATTTGACATTCTAAAATGCTGATTAATAATTTGACCTCTAGTCTATAATTTAATGATTTATAATGAAACTTAATTTGTTTTTAAGAATATTAAACAAGAATATACTAGTCACGATACAAAACTTTGCTTTAACCAACTTGGATCACGTCAGTCAGATTGAATAAAAAGAAGTGTAGTCTCCAACTATTCGCCTACACTTATACAAGTCTACTCCATACTCCATGGATCATGCCCTAATGAACAAACGAGTATTGACGGCGCCGTCATCATACCCTAAAGAGCGGCAGCTAACGGCGTCACTATTCAACGGCTTCACTCCCAAACTAGATCCCACCTTTCTTTTATACGGACTAAACCACTTGTGTTGCAAATAAGAGCTTCTCCGCCACGGTGGGAGAGACAAGCCACGGCTCTTCAACGACCTCTTCGCTGCGTCACATGACTCTCTCACGATCGTCCTCAGATTCTCTTCTTTTCCTACGAAAACGTTAGGCAGCAACTGCAACACACGTGTGTATTCGCGTGTTGGCCTTGCGATCTCGAACTCCGAAGCAAAGTCTAGATCAACGAAGTAACGGACGGCCGTCTGATCATTATCTGACGGCTTGTAAACGACGTCAATGAATTGGTAACTCCCGGCGATGAGTTTGGCCGATGAAGTCCATTTTGATACACAAACCGCGGCGTTGTAGCCGAGCTCTCGTAGAAACGAAACTACCTTGTCCCCGAAAACAGATTTATTCCTTGACCTAAAACCGGAGTATGCCTCCACAGCTCTCAAAACGTGAGCTAACAATAGATTCTGGTAAGGATCGGAATCGGATAAGCTCACCGCCATCCTCAGGATCTCCTCACTATCTTCGCTGGGACATTCAACTACAGAATTCTCAGACAGTTTGGAGTCAGAGTCGTAGAATGTTTCTTCGGGACCATCCTCGAAAAACCCGTGTACAAGCTCGTAGAGTCGAGGAGAGTCTTGGTCTAGGATGCAGCCGTGGCTGCTGAAGATCCGAGCCTTGGCGTCGTCGTCAAGTGGGTCAGTGACACGTTTGGTTCTTGAGAAAATCGCCATTGATTTAGTGATGAGAACTATTTTAGTGATTGATGAGAATTTTAGTGAGGAGTGAAAAGGTGAAAGAATCAAATATAAAGTGATTTATGTGGAGAATTTATCTTGGAATATTCGTAGCTTTCTATGTTTTGTTTTTACCATTTATAATTCTATGGGAAGATAAGATTTGGTTTTATCTCATTTGAGGCAAGACCGGTGCCTAGGAAGTATATCCGATAGTACCTGAGGATCATTCCAGTCGTAAGATGTGGTGACGTGGACGGACGAGATTTAAAGCAGCTATAGAATATCCCTTTTGTATTCTTCTTACAAGAAAATATATCCGATCCATTGTAAAAGCTTGTCCGAAAAGTAAACATTTATTTGATGCAATCAATCATATATGTTCGCTATTCAAAATGTTATAATTGGTATATTAACCGGTTTAATGCTTTTTTTTTATTAAACCGGTTTAATGCTGTTTTAGGCTTTTTAGCTAATGTTTCTTGCACAAAAAAAAGAAAGAAAGAATAAACAAGCTTAATTTAGGCTTAGATCAACACTATCTAATGAGCTCTCAGATAGTTCACCTTCTTTTCTTAGGCTTTGAATGGTTAGTCCATATGATGCGGACTGGACACTGCATACCAATATTTTAGTATGCAAAACATCATACTGTAGTCTAGAGCAGACAATTGTATGTTGGTATGAAGTTTATGGTGGTATTGAGCTTTTGGGGAGTTGACTGAAAAAATGCGGACTAACAGTGAATTTATGATGGTATGAAGTTGTATGCTCAAGTACATACCAGTATGGAGATTTTTAGTATGCAATAGTGAATAGTAGTATGCAATAGTGAATGGTAAATTAAGTGCGTACTAGTCCGATTTTAGTCCGGTCTGCAGCATACTAGACAACCATTCAAAGCCTTTTGCACGTTGAAAGCAGTATAATTAGCCTTAATTGCGGTGGTATAAGTCCACCAAAGGTCCAAACTCCAAAACAAAGGCACAAGAAACTATTTTGTGTTTGGACGAACGCAAACTCTTTTCACGGACCTTTTAAATTTTTACAATTGACGAACAAAACACCAACACAACCCAAAAGATCGTTTACTTTCTTTCCTCAGCCGTTACATCTTTCTGCTTCCCCACCCCCAAGGATTTCACTGGGTGGTTCAAAAATCGAGATGACCGTTGCACGTCCATAAAATGTTTGGACGATAGGATCTTCTACCGCCGGACCATCATCATACGTTTTTTGCCTCACTAAACCATCTTCCTGGGAATTCATCTCACAACTCTTCTTTCATTTTAATTGTTTGAAACCAGTTAGAGAAATTGTAATCCCATGAGTGATGAATTTATAGCTCCAGTATCAAAAATCCTTTTTAACCATCCGTCTTTCACTCTAAAGACAAAAACGTGACTCAATATCATATTAAGAACTCAAATTAATCTTGAAAGTTCCATGTTCATAGCTCCACGTTCTACCAACAACTAGACGAAAAAAACAACACATGCGATTAATCTCTAACTGGAATCAAATGTTCTCATCATAGAAGTCCCTGTTTTATAAATCTCTCATTAAAGCTCAGGACGAAAAACTAAGAAAAACATTGCAACAAACCAAAAGAAGCAAGAAACTGAAAATGCAGAGTTCTTGGAACGTTTTCAAGACTCAGGTACTCATGGCTTCTCCATCTTTTGATGATTCCTTCTGCAAATTCCCACCAACACAAGATTTGGTTATCATCATAATAATTACCACTTTCTACTTTCATCTTCTTATAATCATATGATCAAACCATTGGATTAATTAGAGATATATACTTACAGTTAATTTCGCAAACATGTTTCCATAAAATTTGGCTTCCTTTTTGTTGAATTCCTTCATTTTCTCCTTCAACCTTCTCTGCTCCAGCTTCACTTCCCTGTCATTTAAAAGTAAAATAGTAAATCTTCACTTAGTATATGAAGAAGACATTGCAGAAACTATCCTGCTCTGAATTAAAAGATATAAGAGTTCAAAAGTAAGAGACAAACCTGTTGTTGGGATCGATTTCAAGGGCCTTCTTGACATCAAACTCAGCCAAGTCTAAATCAGCCATCTCCATGTATGCTTGCGCTCTCCTGTATAAGGCCTTCACATTGGTGCTTTCTAGCTCTAACACCTAAATACCAAACGCACCATCTCAGTCATTCTTGTTCAGCTAGGCTTTGAAACTGACGTAAAAGGATTTGTAGTCTTAACCAACAATTATCTACCTTTGTGCATAATTTTTCGGCCTGCTTGTAATCTTTCAATTTGAGTTTGCAGGCTGCATCGTTTAGATTGCATGCCACCTTCAATGCTTTTGCTTGCTTCTTCTCTTCCTCACTGAAGGATGTGTCGTATTCAATGAATTTGACAGCCTGAGAAGATACTGAACCATGTAAGATGATGTTCAACGTAAAACTCATATATCAATAAGCAGTTTCTATCGTATACCTTCTCGTATCTCTTGGAAGCCAGGGCATATTTGCCTGCTTTAAACTTGGAATTTCCTTCTTCCTTCTTCTTACTAGCAGCTTCTATCTTCTCCTCAGTGCTCATGTCCCACGATTCCCTTTCCTAAAACCCAGTGGCAAACAAGTGTTGGACACTTAAACTTCCATATTGACTGAATAGCGAACGGCATAAGCATCCAAAACACTTCACTAACCTTGTCGAAAGTCAATAGGTCAACCTCATAAGTAACGGTTGAGTTTGGCGGCACCACAGCCAATTCCTGTTGTGACTCATTAGAACCAAAGGCATACTCGGGGTCTATGGTCACCAATGCCACTTCCCCCTTTTTCATCTTCATGACAGCTCTATCAAGTCCATCGACCACTTGCTCTGTTTAAGCATCCAGCAAATGAGTTACCATGACTAAGAAAACCAGGGAAAATCCGGTACATCCAACTAGCAAATGAGTGTAGTTACCTTCATCTGTTTTGAACTCAAACGGTTCCTCATTCTCACCATGACCTTTCTTCAAAAATACAGTACCATCTTGAAGTTTCCCTATCAATTTCACTGCCAGAAAGTAACAAATGAAACCCCCGTAAGAAACCGTTATATCTGGTGAAGACATGAGTGTACTAAAATCCGAAATGCAAACCTTTCACAGCTGCCCCCTCGTTAGGACGCTCATATCCTTCCCCTTCCTTCAAGATTTTCTTCATAACCTTGTTATCATCAGTTACTTCTGAAACTGTTTTCCATGAAACTAACTCAAGATTGATCTCGAGCGTCGCATTAGGAGGAACCGCACCATCACCAGCAGAGGCTGGCTTTCCCTTCTCCCCAAAACCATCTGTCATTTACAAGCAGTTTGGAATAAGAGACAAGGCAAACACCATACCAGCATAAGTGAGAACACAACTGAGGCAAATTTTCTTACATTGTGGTTTAACTGTCAAAAGAACCTTTTCACCCTTTTTCATGGTTTTCACAGCCTTAGTAAGCGCAGGGCAGAAATGACCTATTAAGACATAGATAACAAAGAATGTCAAAGAGCGAATATATTATCCAACATGTCCCATCATATCTTAAAAGAATTCAGAGCACTAACCATCTTTAACAGTGAACTCTACACCATCAGATTTCCCAACAACCGTGCCATCCTCAAGTTTAGCCTCGAACTTAACTGAATAAATAAATACACAAGAAATACCGAAATATCGTTAGCAAAATAACACAAACCAATCTCTAAAGCAGGCAACAAGAAAGTGAACACACACCAAGAACTTCATCAAGATCCTTCGGGTTCTCCCACTTCTCTCCAACAGCAAGAATCTTCTTAAACACACCACCATCTTTACATATATCCTTCACACTAACCCATGTAAGCAACTCCACATCAAACTGAAGCGTAGCATTCGCAGGAATTGTCGGCGGCGAACCAGTTTCCCCATACGCCAGCTCCGAAGGAATAGTGAATACAGCGTTTTCACCTTTCTTCATCGTCTTAATACCAATATCCCATCCTTTAATAACCTGACCTGCAACAACACAATACCAACAACCACAAACCATAACACATCCATCAACAAAGAGCATTTAGTACTCGAAAATTCGATATGGAACTTAACAACAACCGCATCTCAATTCAAGTTGATTTCTAATCTTCCTAATACTCTTGATTACTTAGTTCTTACTGATAAACACTATAATCAATCGCTCAAATTAAGCTAAAAGCAATCGTATCCAGAGATAAGAATCACAAACCTTGTCCAAGAGTGAATTTAAAAGGCGTTCCTCTATCACGACTCGAATCAAACTTCGTCCCATCAAGCAAAGTCCCAGTGTAATGCACTGCAGAAATCAAATCAAGCTCAAGCTTCATTAAAAAAAAACCTAAATCGAAAGAATAAGAATCAGAATCGATTAATTAAATTACCTTCAACTTCATCGCCATTCTCAGGAGTCTCATATCCTTCACCTTCTTTAACAAGCTTCTTCTTCAAACCTTGTTGGATCTCTTTCTCTTCACCGACTTTAAGAAACGATGCGGCGTCACCGAAATCCATTTCGTCGTCGTCGCCGACCGGAGGCATCTCGAAATCGTTATCCATCTTTTTCGATTCAATTCAAAAAAAACGCAAAGGAGAAATCAAATCGCGAGAGAGATAGAGAGGAATTGGATTTGTGAGATTTATATCTGAGGTTGAGTTTTGGGTGAAAAAAGGGTTCTAGAGAGTTCTTTAAATCTTTTATTCGAAGGAAATGACGGAGTTAAGTGACGGAAAGATGGTTCGAGAACAGAGATGCTGTTTAGGTTATGACGCCGTTAAAAGGGTTGCGTATTCTGATGATGTGTATTGATTACGTCACTTATTTGGGCTTTAAGTAATTCACTATTTAAACTCTTTAATAGCCCAACAAGGCCGGTTTTTGTTTTGTCAACAAGCCCAACAAAGCTGCTAGAACTCTCTATCCTTTACTTGATCGGAAAAAAAAATTAAATTATTTTTTCTAATTTACGTTCGTTAAAAAAAGTCGTATATCCTTCGAAGATATATAAAATAATGATTATAATATTTGTATGTATGTCCCAACTTAATAATATTTGCAACAAGGTTCACAATTTAATATCCACCCAGCTAATATAACAATTTAAACATCAGCAATCGATTTGAAGAAAATGAAGTCGACTCT